TTATTCAAAAGGATCCCGACATGACAAAATGTGCAGCAATTATAAAGTAAGGGGATGATATAAAAATAAGGATATTTGGTATGATTGCAAAAGAGACAACTATCAACCATAGTTCAAATGACGAAGATAAACGCTACTAAAGGTCACCCTACGGCCTTCAACACAAAAAAAAAGAAAAAGAAAAAGCCACACCGTATAGTCAGCTTTAAAAAGCCCCGACATGAAAATGTGAAATAATTCAAACAAGAAAACTGACGACCTACTCTATAGGCATTACATGAACACAAAATCATACCCACATTAAATCGGGACAGCTTAGTCCATTACAGTGTGGTATAACATTTCATACAGCAGTCGATATTAGAGCATGAAATTTAATGATTCTGTATCAATAGATTAGTTACCTAAGCTTGTCTTCAGGAAATTTTTTTTTATTACGGTACATATAATCATTGAATTACTTGTCTGTATTATACCTTCAATCTAGGAGTGAGTGCAACCACATTGTTTGTCCGGTCCAACAAATATTTTGTTTCTTATCTGAGAAACTACTTTACAAAAAGACTTCGTATTTGGCCAGTAACTTAACATCAGTGAGTTGCAACTGTGGTCTGTCAAATACCTAATTCCTGTGTGCCGATTTTTCTCTCTCAATATGTACATAGAAGATATGCTTAGCACATCAACGGGTGCGTTTTTGTTTTTGGTCTATAATACGGGGCTTATAACTGAGTCATTTTAACTGACAATTCTTCTTCATAAACTTATATATTCCACGGGTTAAATTCTAAAAATGCCGTTAAACTCTTTAATGTACCTTTTCAAAGTCAGGAACAGTAAGATGCGCTGTCATTATTTATTACGTTTTTTTGTCATTTTGTTGATAGTCTCTATTAAATTTATCCGTACAATTCTCATTACGATTTAGAGTTAGCCAAATGGTGAAGTTACTATATAAATTACTTATGTTTTTTTTTTTGTGTAGTTGGGTTTCTCTCTCATCGGCGTCTTATGTTTTTCATATCTCTTATTCATTTCCTATATGAAATAACAGACATACAAAATTAAGAATGTGGATTTGATTTTTTTTCCATTCGAAGATAATATTGTTGACTTCCTTATTAATGAATAAATATAACAATTCTCGTGATTTGGCCGATTTTCATTGCAGGTACTTTTTTCAAATTCGCGCAATCGGGATTATGACGTCAGTGGATTTCCGCAAATGTGACTACATCTAAAGCGACGTCGCGAAATGTAATCGTTCTTATTAGAAACATCGCGAAATTACAACGTCGCGAAAACAAGACGAAAAGTTTTGAAAACGTTATTATCTGCCCCTGCTACTTTATCGTATGCCCTTAAATATTGTGTCCAAATTTGCCCAAACTGTTCAGGGTTCGACCTCTGCGGTCGTATCAGGCTGCGCTCAGCGAAGCATTTTTTTATGTCTACTGAAATTTAGGAGTTAACGCACAGTTAACGCGAGTAAACGCCGCGTTAACTTTTTCCGCCCCTCTACATGTAATACTTGGTCTGCACCCAACTGTATATACATGAACATTTTGTCACTGGTTATGGCCCATAACACTTTACATTATATAATTATCAGTCTTTGAAATATTTTTACTTTGACTGCATTAAGGTTTGGTTATTGTTTTTCTGACATCTTACAGATTTTATATGTATTTCAGTTATCAGTCAAAACATTTAAAATTGTAAAAGTATTGTTTCATAATCATGATAATCATTGCATTTTACATGTAAATATTTATACCAACCTTTGTTTATTTTAAACAACATATTTGTCACAATTTTTGTTTGTGCTAATTAGATAAATTTTCTTTTATCTTTTATCATATTGCCCTCAGTACAGAATAGGTATTTGAAAAAAAACATACTTTATATAATTGGTCTCCTACCTGTCAATTCAAAGGTGACAATAATCACAACAGTATTTACAAAAAGGTTGTAATTCGGGTTAAAGAAAAGTAAATCATTAATAAAACAGTCAATATAACAAAAACATCTTTTAATTGTGAATATATGTATAATACTTTTTAATTAGACTAACAAGGACTTTCTATACTGTAACAGGTTATTTTTATAGAAGTAAATGAATCAATTGTGACCGTGACTGAGAAAATGGGTCCAGATGAGATTTATACATATTTTCAGTTTTTAGCATTTTTTCAATGCTACTTATGTGCCTACCATTAATACAAAATTTTATGATGATATTGCAACTGGTTTCGAAAATACAGCAGTTCAGATTCGGCATACATTTGCGTAAATAATTTATAATCAGAAAAATATGGAAATTCAAACAAAATTTTGACTTATTATTTTCTTTGGTAATTGGAATGTTGTAATTGTGTTCCACCTCAATATTGTATTATCTATAAATACTCCAGAATTGAATATCTATATTGATGACAAAAGTTTAGTATTTTGTGGAATATTTATGTGTTAAATATGTGGTTTCCATGGAAACAAAACAATAAATATTCTAGAACTTCTTTTTTCATATTCTCCAAATGTCTTAATGTTTACATATATTTTATGTGTTGTTTCTGGTGATCATGTACTGTCTACATGTCATTTTCCCTAAATCTGTATTTTTGTTTGCATTGATACTTTGAAATTAATTGTCCTTTTTTAAGTTTTGGTTGGTTTTTCAATGAGTTGCTTTTCGTTATCGTATCTTTTGAATGTGTGTTTTGTTTTTATATAATATATAACAAAAATGTATCAAAACTTCCATCAGATTTTTTTCCAAAATTAAATGAAACAAAAACTTGATCTTATTGGCATTGCTATTGAAAATATATGTACCAGTTCTCTGCCATGTGGTCAATTTATTAACAACTATACATGTTTTGACTTTATTGGTGACATTAGTTTTGAAAATTAAATATTTTAAAATTTAAAAAAAAAATAGAATAGTGAACAAAACAAACTTTGGTATTTTATTTCATAAAAAGCTCCGTTCTTGATGGACATTAATCTTTATTGGATTCTCCTTCATCGGTCAAGTCAACCTCAGTTATAGCAATGGTTGACTTTGGACAGATTATGTCCTCATTAGTTTCATTATAGCAATATTCCCCGATTTGTCCATAGAGATACCACGGTCTTGCTGCATTTAATCCATTGTGTGTTAAGGTGTTTGGCATAATAGATGGTGAAATTATAGTGGTCTTCTTTATAAACATATTGATGATAGTAGGTTATGAGTCACATGTCTTTACATGTTAGTATGAAGTTATACATCTGTGTTTTGATGAATCAACAATAAAGTGGTGATATGTGCTTTATATATGCTGCAGTGTTAAAATATTGCTTCCAATATTAACATATGACAGGTTTCTCCATATCCTTGACTAACTAGGCACTATTATGGCTATTCCAACTGGACTTGATGACACTATCTGCAATCTGCAAAATAGTAAAATATAAATGCAACTACATCATCAACAAATATTGTACATACAGTGTGTTTTGAATGTAGCCAGACCTGACACTACATTCAAAAAGGGTACGTGTGATCTTTTCCTGCAATGGATATAGGATGCATACATGTATAATATTTCAATTGAATAATGATATTTATATGGTTAATCAGTGCCATGTGCACAGCGATAAGACAGTTATAAGACTCAGTGACAGATCCAGGGGGCAAGAGGGAGTGTTTAAGCCCCCGCCCCCTCACACCCCTTTGATTGGCGAACAAAATCATGTTTTTCTCTATATATATATTTAAATTTTAGTATAAAATCATCCAAAACTTTTTTAATGTCACACATTTTTGGAGGTAAACAATTATTGGGAATTACACCCCCTTTTAAAATTCCAGGATCTGCCCCTGAAACTTAAGGTAGTCTGTAAATGGTAAAACACGGACCAAAGATGGACACAAAAAATCTGTGTACGCTGTCAAAGCACAAGTCAGTTTATTTATTTCTTTCTACGTTATTTCTTCTTGAAAATACTTAAAATGAACGTTAAAATAAAGGTATCTATGATAATGTTGGCATTTTTGAAGAATTCGGATGCAAAATTAAATCTCACCTGCGCACATGCTCACACGTCTTTAGTTTCAACACCGTAGTTCTGTCAAATTTTCACAACTTTTTTTTTTAATTTATCATTAATTTAGAATTTTATGTTAATATGTATTTCTAAAAGGCTAAGTCATTTTTACAAAGTAACAGGTCACATCAATCAACAGTACCGTTAATTGAAAGTCTGGGCTTGAGCAATGTACAATCGCCAAGTACGGGAAAATCGATAATGCGAGTACAGGAATTGCGATCAATTTACATGATACCGGTCCACCAGAGTCATTTGTTCTATTTTTAAAAGATGTACAAAATCAGTTCAAATTCTTGGAATCCCGGATGACGTAATTGACTTTGATTGGATAAGATAGAATAGTGGTGAAGGAATTTTCCACTTTGTTTTTTGGAAACGCCAAGATTTTTTTGTTACTAGTCCGTCGGGCATATTGGGTTACAAGTTTTGATTGTCCGAGGTGTAAATGATCTAGTCCAGGGCGTCGGGCTAGTGGATTTCTTAATCCCTGCCTATCTTTTAAAACAAGACAAAATTTCATAGTATTCATCCGTAAAATATTGTCTCAATACACACAAAATATAACCTCCCTTTAACAAGACAAAATTTCATAGTATTCATCAGTGAAATATCGTCTATATACAGACAAAATTTCACTATGAAATTATCCTTCTCTGGACATTTTTTCATAGGCAAATTACGTTTTTAAATTTATATATACATATTTACCCAGCTTATTCACTAATAACTTTCGCATACATCTCTAAAACATCACAAAAATGTCTATGTATTTGGAATACATGTATAACCTTAACTGCAAAAGCAACCCTTCATTTCTCTAAAATCTCATGTTTTGTAATCAATAAAAATTCTGTGTTGAAAATGCAATCAACTACATATATTCAAAATCTCTTTCTCTTGATTAGACTCCAGCTCAGTTGGCGCAAAAAAGGAGAACAGACAAGAAATTACAGAAATAAATAAAATGTCTCACAAGCAAAATTCAGACATTTGCATGACCCTTGATGAGACTACATGTTTCATAATGATTGACACCCTTGATGAAACTACAACTGCCGGCAATTCACCCCTTGAGGAGACTACAACTTCCGTGATTTCACCCCTCGAAGAGGTGACTACAGCTGCAGGTTGCATGATTCCCACCCTTGACGAGACTACATGTTTCATGATTGCCACCCTTGATGAAACTACAACATCCGGCAATTCACCCCTTGATGAGACTACAACTTCCTTAATTTCACCCCTGGACGAGACTACAAGTTCCATAATTGGCCAATTTGAGGAAACCACAAATTCCATGATATCAACTCTTGATAAGACTACCAGTCAGTTATTTCGGGATAACATGAAAGGAATGAGACAAAAATTACACGGGCATATTATAACAAGTACTGAAGAGAAACCTTATAGATGTGATGTATGTGGTGAAAGGTTCAGACAGAGTTCCTATTATAGACACGTAAAAACGCACAGTGAAGAAAAACCTTATAAATGTAATGTATGTGGTGAAAGGTTTATCACGAAACGAAAGTTACAGACACACCTTAGAATACATACGGGTGAAAGACCTTTTATATGTGATACATGTGGTAAAGACTTTAGTGACCAAAGTGCCTTAAATGGACATATAAAATTTCATACTGGAGATAAACCTCACAAATGTGATGTATGTGGTCAAAGGTTCATTAGGAATCAGCATTTACAGACACACAAGAGAACACACACTGGTGATAGACCTTATAAATGTGATGTTTGTGGGAAAGTGTTTAATCAGAGTTGTAACTTACAAAAACACATAAGAACACATACTGGAGATAAACCTTATACATGTAATGTTTGTGGTAAAGGGTTTAGTCGGAGTTTTAGCTTACAGCGACACATAAGAATACATACTGGAGATAAACTTTATAAATGTGATGTTTGCGGTAAAGAGTTTAATCATAGTTTAAGCATATTGGGACACATGAGAACACATTCTGGAGATAAGCCGTATACATGTGATATATGTGGTAAGATGTTTTATCATCATCAAAGCTTACTGGGACATATGAGAACACACACTGGTGATACACCTTATAAATGTGATGTATGTGGTAAAGGGTTTAGTCGGAGTTTTAGTTTACAGCGACACATAAATACACATACTGGAGAAAAACCTTATAAATGTGATTTTTGTGGTAAACTGTTTAGTCAGAGTTTAAGCATACAGAGACATATGAGAACACATACTAGAGATTACCCGTATAAATGTGATGTATGTGGTAAAGGGTTTAGTCGGATATTTAGCTTACAGCGACACATAAGAACACACACTGGTGATAAGCCTTATAAATGTGATGTATGTGGTAAAGGGTTTAGTCGGAGTTTTAGCTTACAGCGACACATAAGAACACACACTGGTGATAAACCTTATAAATGTGATGTATGTGGTAAAGGGTTTAGTCGGAGCTTTAGCTTAAAGGGACACATAAGAACACATACTGGAGATTAACCTTATAAATGTGATTTTTGTGGTAAAGTGTTAAGTCAATGTTTAAGCATACAGAGACATATGAGAACACATACTGGAGATTACCCGTATAAATGTGATATATGTGGTATAGTGTTTAATAATCGCCAAAGCTCACAGAACCACATGAGAAGACATACTTGAAATAAACCTTTATAAATGTGATGTTTGTTGTAAAGGTTTAACAAACAATAGAAGTTCCCTCCAAAGTAGACATAACTAAATTAACCAATTTGTCATATCACAAAGAACGAAAAGTTTACTTACTACAAACTAGTAAAACCTAGAGAGTTTATAAACAACCTATTTATTAAAATTCGCGGATTCCATGAAAAAATCCTACCATAAACATAACAGATCATAACAACCGAAGCATCACTAATCAACTTTGTATTTTGTTGTTTTGTATGCGTTCAATATTTTCTTCGTATCGGTAATCGCCCCTTGACTTTTTAACGGTTGGCCACAAGTAGACAATTTAACTGTAACTTGGTTTAGATCCTATATTTATTTTAAAATTTTCAGGAAACGAAAAATCCTCAATTCATTATTGTACAGTAACCATACCTGTAAAAAAAAACAATGGCATCGCAAGTTAAGTTCGGACGCATGAAATTATTTAACGTGTTGTTTACAATCTTAACAGGATTTCAATTGCTAACATCAGTCATCGAACCCACGAGCTCAATGTTATAAGTTTTTATAATATGATAACTGCATCTAACACTCGATAAGACATTTAAAAAATATAAGAAATACCGATTGGATCTTTATTAGCTTGATTTACAAACAGAACAATATTTATTTTATTTTCAGTGTATGGAACGCCAAATTTAGACTGGTTCTCCTGTCTAGATAAATGTGCAAATATTACATATTTCATATATCATGTATAGAACAAGGTGATTATACATAGCGGGATCCCAGTCTACGCCAAATTAAACATTTATATGGGTAATTTTGGAAAAAAATCGAATTTTCAGTACTCCCATGGCATGTTGAAATTTTAATTTATATATATTTATATAAATAAATCAAGAGTCCCCTGTCCTCAGTTCTAATGCCTGTTTAAAAAAGGACCATAAGCTTTCTACTTCTTTTGAGGTTGATGGGTAATGAAGATATTTAATTTCTAATTTTCTTGCAAGGACACAAAAATAAAACACCATTTAGATCTATGTTGACAAGATTAAAATATATTTAAATCCGATATTTGCGTAGTTTATGTGCAAACAGTGTTAGAGTAACACATTTCAAATGATTAAATTTATTTTCACAAGGTACAAGGCCTGCATACTTATTCCACCCAATAAAAGTTTCTCACTTTGTACAGAATCATTTTCTGTAGTTAGTGAAACATAATACTCATTTTCACCTCATTTTGGGCAGGGTTAACATATTACTCATTTTCACCTTGTCTTGGGCAGGGTAAACATATTACTCATTTTCACCTTATCTTGGGCAGGGTAAACATATTACTAATTTTCACCTTATCTTGGGCAGGGTAAACATATTACTCATTTTCACCTCATTTTGGGCAGGGTAAACATATTACTCATTTTCACCTGATCTTGGGCAGGGTAAACATATTAATCATTTCACCTCATTTTGGGCAGGGTAAATATATTACTCATTTCACCTCATCTTGGGCAGTTTTCACCTCATTTTGGGCAGGGTAAACATATCACTCATTTTCACCTCATCTTGGGCAGGGCAAACATATTACTCATTTTTACCTCATCTTGGGCAGGGCAAACATATTGTTCATTTTCACATTATCTTGGGCAGGGCAAACATATTACTCATTTTCACCTCATTTTGGGCAGGGTAAACATATTACTTATTTTCACCTCATCTTTGGCAGGGCAAACATATTACTCATTTTCATCTCATCTTGGGCAGGGTAAACATATTACTCATTTTCACCTCATCTTCATGATCTTGGGCAGGGCAAACATATTACTCATTTTCACCTCATTTTGGGCAGGGCAAACATATTACTCATATTCACCTCATCTTGGGCAGGGCAAACATATTACTCATTTTTACCTCATCTTGGGCAGGGCAAACATGTTACTCATTTTCACCTCATCTTGGGCAGGGCAAACATATTACTCATTTTCACATTATCTTGGGCATGGTAAACATATTATTCATTTTCACCTCATCTTCGGCAAGATATCTGTATTCAGTTCTATAACCTCATGTTATCATATATGAGTCAGAGTGTCGTGTGATATCACTAGATTTTATCTAGTTTTCAGTTTTTATTAAAATCAAAGGGTAGCTTTCTTAGGCGAGATTGATTATTGAATATCAACAAATCCTGCATACAACTTTTTTATATATAAAATTTAAATTATACTATGATGTATATATATTTACCCAGTTTATTTAAGAATTGAATGCTTCATTTTGTATATTATTCACTGGGGTGCAAAAGCGTTGACCGAAGTACATTTTGTTGCGCTTCATTCTAAAAATGTACGCACGGTCAACGCTTTTACAACCCTATGAAATTACTAAAAGAAGCATTCAATACTTATAATTACATTTTTTTCACTATGATCATGAAAACACGATTACTTTTATTTTTTTCTTTTATTTACCTGTGCACTTTATTGTTGAAACTTGTGTCATCATTTATGTTACAATTTATGAAATACATTTTGAAATGAACATGATGAAGAGTGTCCCGAGATTGCAGTTAGCCAATCAAAATAACGTATAATAATGAAACATACATCTAATGTAATAAATTATTCACTCATAACTTTCGCATACATCTAGAAAATTTTACAAAAATGTCTATGTATTTGGAATACCTTAAAAGTAAAAGAAACCCTTCATTTCTCTAGAGTTTCATGTTTTGTAACTAATGAAAATTCTGTTGTTGAAAATGCATTAAAAAGAAGATGTGGTATGATTGCCAAGAGACAACTCTCCACAAGAGACCAAATGACACAACAATTAATAACTATAGATCATATTACGGCCTTTAACAATAAGCAAAGCCCATACCGAATAGTCAGCTATAAAAGGCCCCGAAATGACAAATATAAAACAATTCAAACGAGAAAACTAATGGCCAAAAACAACAAAAAGGTACTAAGTACTGATCTGAGAGTACTCGCAGTTAATGACAGCTAGTTCAAAGCCAATAACAACTGGAATGAAAAAAAATCCTGCATCTAAGACTAACAGTCAATTACAAATATTCATAATTACTTTCTCTTGAATAGACTCCAGCCCAGTGGGCGCAAAACAAAGAACAGATAAGAAATTACGGAAATAAATAAAATGTCTCACAAGCAAAATACAGACATTTTCATGACCCTTTATGAGACTACAGATAATGATTGCCAACTTTGATGACACTAGTACAACTTCAATGGTTTTATCTCTTGGCGAGACTATATGTTTCGTGATTGCCACCCTTGACGAGACTACAGGTTTCATGATTGCCACCCTTGACGAGACTACAGGTTTCATGCTTGTCACCTTTAATGAGACTGCAACTTCCGTCAGTTCTCCCCATGACGAGTCTACAAATTACGTGATTTCACCCTAGACGTAACTACAGCTTCTATTATTTCACTCTGGACGAGACTACAGCTTCCGTGATTTCACCCCTTGACGAGTCTACAACTTACGTGATTTCACCCCTGGACGAGAATACAAGTTCCACAATTAGCCAGTTTGATGAAACCACAAATTCCATGAGATCACCTCTTGATAAGACTACCAGTCAGTTAGTTCGGGAGAATATGGAAGGAATGAGACAAAAATTACTCGGGCATTTTAAAAGAAATATTGCAGAGAAACCTTATAAATGTAATGTATGTAGTGAAAGGTTTAAACAGGGTTCCTGTTAAAGACACGTAAAAACACACACCGAAGAAAAACCTTATAAAAGTAATGTATGTGGTGAAAGGTTTAAACAGGGTTCCTGTTAAAGACACGTAAAAACACACACTGAAGAAAAACCTTATAAATGTAATGTATGTGGTGAAAGGGTAAAACAGGATTCCTGTTAAAGACACGTAAAAACACACACTGAAGAAAAACCTTATAAATGTAATGTATGTGGTGAAAGGTTTATCACGAAACAAAAGTTACAGGCACATAATAGAATACACATTAATGATAAACATTTTTAAATGTGAAATATGTTATATAGGATTTGAGTCGAAATGGAATTTACAGACACACATTAGAATACACACGGGTGATAAACCTTTTACATGTGAAACATGCTTCAAAGGATTTAACAGTAAACGGAATTTACAGAACCACATAAGAACACACACTGGTGATAAACCTTTTAAATGTGATGTGTGTGGTAAAACGTTCGTCGTAAAACAAATGTTACAGACACACTTTAGAATACATACCGGTGGAAGGCCTTTTAATTGTGATACATGTGGAAAAGATTTTAGTCACCAAAGTGCCTTTAATAGACATGAAATTTCATCATACTGGAGATAAACCTCACAAATGCGATGTATGTAGTCAAAGGTTTAGACAGAGTTGTAACTTGCAGAAATATATGAGAACACATACTGGTGATAAACCTTATAAATGTGATGTTTGTGATAAAGGGTTTCGTTTGAAACGAATTTTACAGACACATAGCGGTCAACACACTGGTGTCAGAAAACCTTTCACATGTGAGATATGTGACCAAGGATTTATCAGGAAACAGAATTTACAGACATAAGAGAACACACACTGGTGATAAACTGTATAAATGTGATGTATGTGGTAAAGTGTTTAATCATTGCCAAAGTTTAAAGCTACACATGAGAACACATACTGGAGATAAACCTTATAAATGTGATGTATGTGGTAAAAGGATTAGTCAGAGTTGTAACTTACAGCGACACATAAGAACACATACTGGAGATTACCCGTATAAATGTGATGTTTGTGGTAAAGGGTTTAGTCAGAGTCGAGACTTAAAGAGACACACACGAGAATACACACTGGTGACAAACTGTATAAATGTGACGTATGCGGTAAAGTGTTTTAGTCTTCGTCAAAGCTTAAAGTTACACGTGAGAACACACACTTGTGATAAACCGTATAAATGTGATGTATGTGGTAAAGTGTTTAGTCTTCGTCAAAGCTTAAAGTTACACATGAGAACACATACTGGTGATAAACTTTATACATGCGATGTGTGTGGTAAAGGGTTTAGTCAGAGTTGTAACTAACAGACACACATGAGAACACATACTGGAGATAAACATAAATGTGAGGTATGTGGTAAAGGGTTTAGTGTGAATGGTAGCTTACATGGACACACGAGAACACACTGGTGATAAACCGTATACATGTGATGTATGTGGTAAAGAGTTTAATCATCGTCAGGGCTTAAAGTTACACATGAGAACACACGATGGTGATAAATCGACATATACATGTGATGTGTGTGGTAAAGGGTTTAGTCAGAGTTCCTATTTGCTGAAACACATTAGAACACCATGAACACATACTGATGATAAACTATATCAATGTGATGTATGTAGTAAAAGGTTTAGTCAGTGTTGTAACTTACAGACACACATACGAACACATACTGGAAATCAACCTTATAAATGTGATGTGTGTGTGGTAAAAGGTTTAGTCAGAGAGCTTACAGGGACACACGAGAACATACACACTGGTGATAAACCGTATAAATGTGATGTTTTTGATAAAGGGTTTCGTTTGAAACGAATTTTACAGACATAGCGGTCAACACACTGGTGTCAGAAAACCTTTCACATGTGAGATATGTAACCAAGGATTTAGAGGGAACAGAATTTACAGACACACATAAGAACACACACTGGTGATAAACCTTTTAAAAGTGAAATATGTTACAAAAGATTTAACAGGACACAGATTTTACAAACATACATAAGAACACACAATGTGATAAACCTTGTAGATGTGATATATGCGGTAAAGACTTTAGTGACCACAAGTACATCTGCTATTCATATAAAAAACAATTCCTGAGATTAACCTCATAGATGTATGCTGTACTGAAATTGTTTATTCGAAATCGACTTATGCAGACTTGCAAGGGAACACACGGGCGATAAATCACATTAATATAACGTATGTGTACAACGGTTTTGTCGGATTGGTACCTAACAGAATCATAGCAACACGCACAACATTTTCACAAATAAAACTAGCGATGAATCTCATTAATTTAACGTATGTTTACAAAAGTTTTGCCTGATTGGTACCTAAAAAATGTTACAGAATCATAGCAACACGCAAATATAACGCTGGTGATAAACCGATGAATGAGACGCATGTTATATTGTATTTAGGGACCCCAGTGCCTATTTCAAACACACGAGATTTATATACTTGACAGTAACCACAGTGCAGTACCTATTACAAACACATGAGAACACATAATTATACTGGACAGAAACCATAAATTGTAATGTATATTGTAATGGATTAAGTGACCACAGTGGCTATTATAAACACATGAGAACACATAATCATACTGAACAGAAACCATAAATTGTAATGTATGTTGTAATGGTTTAAGTGACCACAATGTCTATTACAAACATAAAAACATATATCATGTACATATACTAGACAGGAACCATATAATTGTATTGTATGATGTAATGGATAAAGTGAACACAGTGGCTATTATAAAAACATGAGAACACATAATCATACTGGACAGAATCCATATAATTGTAATGTATGTTGTAATGGTTAAAGTGACCACAGTGGCTATTACAAACACATGAAAACATGACATATACTGGACAGGAACCATATTATTGTATTGTATGTTGTAATGGTTTAAGCGACCACAATGCCTATTGCAAATGCACATGTATTACAAATATGAGAACACATATACTGGACAGAAACCATATAATTGTAATGTGTGCTGAAATGGTTAAAGTGACCACAGTGGCTATTACAAACACATGAAAACATGACATATACTGAACATAAACCATATAAATATTGTAAATGTGGTAAAGCATTTTGTCTCCTTTGAACATAGAAGAATACTGCATACTCGTGATACGTCATACATGTACATAGTGGACTACATACAAGTGTCATGTACATGTTATAAGCCATATAAAAAATGATAGAGAAGGACTTTTATCGGTATAAGCAACACGGACAGACCACATACATTATATGGCGTGGTTAATTTCGATTGAAGGCGCCAACACTCCCTTTACTTGGTGTAACAGCACAATATAAGAACAAACTATAAAAATCATTTGAAAACAAAGCTTAACATATCAGACGGGTACAAATGAATAATTGAAATACTTTACAAAAATAAAAAGTAGACATGGACGGGTACTTAGGCCAAAAAAAAAATAATACATGTGTTTCCGTAAACCCTGCCTATTCTAATTTGTTTTGCCTTCCCTAACACTTTTATGCCATTTTGGAACAAGCACTGTTAAAGTCAGACTGATTCTCTAGTAGTAACCAGCTAAAAAATGTTTGTAAAATAAAATGATATTGCCTATCTCACAGTCGGAATACTCCCTGTCGCCCTTATCAAAATATTTTGTTCTTCAAAGTTGGAAATCAGAAATTTTAAAGAAATAAAAATACCCCTCCCCTTTTTCAGATTTGAATATATTTGTATTTACATGACTACGTGTATATTTAAACATTGGAAAAGTGGTTAAAAGTAATCATTATTGTATAAGTGGCATATGCACAACTGTATTTTACAAACTTTTCATTAAACGAATGATCAATTATTGGAACTATAATTAAGGAGATGATAAATGTCATGAGACATCAAACCAATGATACAAACAACCGAAAGACCATCTAGAGGGCAACATGCAGTCCATGTGCTTAGGGAACGACCATTTAACTTCAAAAAGGGGGTTGGGTTGGGTTATGGTTTTCTTCCAAAAAATATTATGATCCCAAATTTGATGAAGAAAAATATTTTTTAACAGATGACAAAATAAAATATCCTGAACTCTATTTATAAAAATAAAAGACGTGGTATAATTCACAACTCGCCACGAGGGACTAAATGACTAAATGACTAAATACAGTTAACGACTACAGGTCACCGTATGGCCTTCAACCATGAGCAAAACCAATACCGCATAGTTCGCTATCAATCTATTGACCCCTTTTCTCTAATTTTCGTTGCTGATAACCTCACGACTTTCGTGTTAAATCTTAAATAGCGATAAAATAGACAAATCAAGGTAGCAAACAAAAACAAGAGAGTCACACGAACTCCAAAAGGAGCTGACATTATGTTCATGGTTCATTGGTTAATGCTTGGTTTTGATGAATTGGTCTGTTTAGCAGACACCAAGAGCAATATGCCAATAATCATGATAATATTTGATGTATGGATGTGCATGATTGTCTGGTAGGCATAATCTGACCTGGATCTGATTTTAAAGGTATATTGGTCAATTGTTTTCATGGTCTATGCTATAAGCATATGTTATTCATGTATTGATTTTAATCATGTATACATGTCTGTCTGTAGTGTTCATCTGACCTTGACCTCGTTTACATGGATCATTGATAATGTTAGGTTTATATCATTCTTGTTTTTAAGATTTTTAATATGATGCTGCTATATAAAAAAGAAGATGGGGCAGTAGTATAACAGCACAACATAATAATTTATCAAGATAGTGTACCAACCAGCATCTATGAGTTTGACTGTCCCTCTGGTATCTTTCGCCCCTCTTTTATGGTGATTTTAGATGCTGGTTGGTACACTATCTTGATAAATTATTATGTTCTGCTGTTATACTACTGCCCCATGTTAAAGGACGATTGAGCGCTCACACAAATGTATAAACCCTGCCACATTCTTTACGTGTCTGTCCCAAGTCAGGAACATGTACTTCAATGATTGTCTGCCATATCTGTTTTTCTTGAATTGTTTTGTTATAAATAAGGCCGTTAATTTTCTCAATTTAATTCTTTCATATTTTTTGAAATGTGAAAGGAAACGGGGAATCTGTCATGAAGACAACAATGCGATCAGAGACCTGAAAACAGCATAAGCTAGGCCACCAATGGGACTTCAACGCAGCTAGACACTCCCCCGCCTTGGGTTGGGCTTCATCTTGTCCATAAAATAATCACGTATACTAGTTCACCGAAATGCACGTCAATGTGGAATAAACAAATACACTGCAATACGCATAGTAAAACTCAGTTTAAAAGAAGTCCTAGTCCGATGTCAAACTAGAGGCAGTAAAGAGCCTGTGTCGCTCACCTTGGTCAATATGCATATCAAACAATTAAAGGACACTCTCCAACATTGTCGATGAGAATACACTTCATGACACAAATCTCTATTTTGTTGATTTTGTATTACTGATCTTTTAGTATGTTTGATTTCTCTCTATCTTCCTAAGTTATTGCTCAAAACACAAAAGAGGGTAAAACTAAATTATCATTTAAGGCTAATCAATCCTATCAAGAGTGACAGTCTTCTTACTACTAGTATATCGGCAAAATTGGACTTTTTAATAGATCTTACCTTGCTGATCATGTTTGTGATTTAAAGTGTTTATTTATCTTTTATTATTTAAATCATATAAGGAAGAACGGGATTAAAATGTTTCTCTCTAAATATCTCAGTTTTCATGATAATAGGCAAAAATGAAAAAAAAAAAAAAATGGTAAAATTGTCTAATAGTTTTGACGTGTACTTAAAATTGGTAGAGCTCATTAATCTGAACATTTTTTATCCTTTCAGATTTTCTCTGTTTATAACAGTTCAAAAAATAATAGACAAATGATGATTGTGGTCAAGTTTGGTTAAATTTGTCTCAGTAGTTTCAGAGGAGAAGATATTTGTAAAAGATTACAAAAATTAACAAAAAATTGTTAAAAATTTACTATAAAGGGCAATAACTCCTTCAGGGGTCAATTGACCATTTCACCCCCTATTCTATTCAATTGACCGTTTTGGTCAATTGACTTATTTTTAGATCTTACTTTGCTGAACATAATTTTTGTTTACATTTTATCTATATCTATAATAATATTCAAGATAATAACCAAAAAATGCAAAATTTCATTAAAATTACCAATTCAGGGACAGCAGCCCAACAACTGGTTGTTTAATGCGTCTGAAAATTTCAGGGCAGATAGATATTGACCTGATGAACATGTTTAATCACTCAGAATGGTTCTAAATGCTTTAGCTTCAGAGATATAAGACAAAAACTGCATATCAGTGACCAAGTGGATAGTAAACTTTGAATGATAGAAAATTGCAAATACAAGTTATTTCTAGTATATATATTTTCGTATAAATCACAGAAAAACGCAAGAAAATAAATGAAATTATAAGAAAACAAAAACAATAACAAATTACAGGAACAAAAGGGGGAGGGCTAAAAAATATGTGCCCTGCCTAAGTTCCAACGATTTTTGTTAGAACAGTGTAAGACACGTGACCATCATAACGCACATTGAAAAAATATCTTTAAAATCAAGATTTTTTGTGGGTAAAAAAATTCTCTTTTAAAGGTTCAAATATGTTTTTTTCACACCTACTTCAAAATCTCACATTTTCGGGACAAATTTTGTTCTTTCAAGTATCTTTTGTTTTAAAAACTAGTTATTTTTAATGTCGTTTTCTTTAATTAACAGTGATGCCGCATTTATCACGAAAGCCCTTCATAACTAAAGCTGTATATATCAATACAATAACTGTCAGATAATTGCTAAAGGAAATGATTATTTAAGTTAAAATAGCCGAATCAAAATAAAAGTTTCGTAATCGTATACATTTGTATATCATATGTCATCTTAAGTTTGCAAATGTACCTAATATTAGTTTTTGTGGCAGTTACCTCAGCTATCAGCTAGATGATGTGTCTATATAATTGTTTGCATAAAACAGCCAACAGAAAACCAAAGACGAATGTTTTGAAAATGAAATTGCACACAGCAAGACATCATTATTAACCAAATTGGATTTATACGACGTACCTACCTACGACATACATATCTTAACAGCCAACATAATTTTGTTTTTAGGTTAACGATGTCCCTTCATATTTTTTTCTCAAAGGTTTCAATCACTGCCTGATTTCACTACTATAGGGGGCTCTACAACCCCCATAACAATGATTATAACCCCCACAATATGAATTCTTATCGCAACATCATCTATCATTGCATAACGGCATAATGGTCATATAGATATATATCACCCATATTTGAATTATATCTGTTATTTTTAACAACCCCTATTGCATAAGATATTTCATAAAATTTTAACCCCTATTTTATCACATACTTTCAACCCCTAGGTATTATAACCCCCAACATTTACATAAGATATTAAAATGTACTTTTCATAAAATTTTAACCCCTATTTTATTACATACTTTTAACCCCTAGGTATTATAACCCCCAACATTTTATTGATCAGTAGAGTTTTCATTAATCATACACCATAACATGCTTACTATATAAACCTTCAGAATAAACTACTTAAATCATTCTTCCTCTTGTTAACGAAATGGGGTTTGAAAGAAAAATGACAAAGTATCGATGTGGATGTTATTCTGAGGAAATGTCTCACGACTCCTTTGATTATACGGAATCTAGTGAATACAGAAACATATGTGGAAGACATCCTTCAGAAGAATCAGCAAACGAAGATCATAGCAAGTGTACCAAAATGGTTGAAGTGATAGAAAATGCACGCTATGCATTAAGTCAAAATATGGATACAGACACTGTTGCATGTCATTTAACAGCAAGAGAAGTAATTACAAAAGGTCAAAAAGATGAGTTACTAAAATGTAAATCGAAACAACTTAAAACAAGAAAACTTATCAACATGATAGTGGAATCGAAGAATATATCGCTGCATCACCTTAGAATGTCTTTACTCAAGGCAGGTCAACCTGATTTACTACCTTATATCAGTGAAACAAAACAAAAAGAGAGTAACTACAGTGGTGATGATGAAAAGGATGCCCAACAATCATCTGAAGATAGATGTATGATAGAACTACAGGGAGAGTCTTTCGTGGTAGCTAAAGACTTTAAGGGTCAAACATATATTAACATTCGTAATTATCAAACAATTGAAGGAAAGAAATATCCTACGAAACAAGGTGTGGCACTAACTTTATCACGTTGGTTAGTACTGGAAACTCAAAAGGATTTCATTGACAGTGTTTTTAAACTGTGTTTGACTGGAGAACAGGTTAATGAAGAACTTATTCATTTAGGCGGGGGTGTTTACGTTACATTAAATTCTAAATACCCTACAGTTGACGTCCGTCGATTTTGGAAACCAGAAGATAAAGATAAACCTATAGCTACAAAACGAGGAATACCTTTGAATAACATCAAATGGCAAAAACTTTGCGATTCCATGAAGATAATGAGAGACTTTGTTCCAGAACTGAATAGCACAGTCATCTGTAGAAATACCCACAACAACCAAATGGAAATGTTCAA